TGACAAAGGGAAAATAGGCAGCTCTTCCTGGCTAAGGGAGGAGAGAGCTTAATTTGAATGCCTCCTGTGTGTCCCTATTTTGGTAAATAAGGCAGCTGATACTGGGAGAGGTGAAGTAATTTACCACAGTTGCATAGCAAATTGTGGGGTGTGCCTCTCAGCATTTTTATATACTGAAGTCTATTCTCTATGCTGGAAACACGCTACTTCTGTAAGATAAGACCATATTTCATTGACACAGAGGCGAATTTTATTAGATGTATCAAGTATTGCATAGAAAGAAAAAATACTGCCAATTAAACCAACACAAGTTTGTTTTCATATCAAGTGGAAGATTCATCCTGATTTCAGAGATGTCAAAATGTGAAAAAAAAAATGTGTCTTAACTATTGCATTTTGTCACTTCTAACATTTATTCTTTGTGATGTGCATGTACTATCTTATCCACCTATAAAGTTACTATTATTGTCTCATTTTTACACAATGATGAAACTGAGGTCCAGAAAAATCAAATAACTTGTCCAAGGTCATGCAGCTGTTAAGTAGTGGAACTGGATTCAAGCTCAGGCAGTCTGATTTCAGAATTCATGGTCAATTTCAACTACTGTTCTTGTCAGCCAGAACCACCTCAGAGAACCTACACAGTGTTCTCTATGCTGGAAGGTTCTTCTGCAGGAGTATTATTGCTAACACGGTGAACAATGCTGAGGCCACGTAGGTCATTATTGTGGCTGTTTCAGGTCACTGGTCTCCATCAGTTTATAGTGTCTGCCTTCCAGAAGCTCAGTCTAATGGGAGAGAATAAGTCTTCAATAGTCACGTAGTGTGTGGTTGTGCTGTGTTGCTGAACTGAATACCAAGGAGCGTGGGGAGCTGTCCAAGAAGTCGTAGGGAACACCGCAGAGGGGGAGTGACATTTAAGTCGCATCTGAAAGGATAACCAAGAATTTGCCAGGCAGACAGATTAACCTAGTACCTTATTATGGCTTTAAACAGACTAATGTCAAACTCTGCTGCCTCCAGAGTTAGTTTCCTTTGCTTTGGAGCCTTAGGTGAGCTGCCCTCCCTGAGTCTCAGTTTCATCATCTTTAAAATGGGAGGTTATTGTTTATTTCACAACGTTGTGAAGATTGATTGAATGCCTGCAAAACATTCAACGTGGCCTATAGTAGGCACCCAATAAATGTTAGCTATAAATAGAGGCTTGGCGAGTAGGTTACTGCCCATTTTGAAAAGCTAGATGTCAGGCAAAGAACTTGGTCTTAATTCTGAAGTTTAGACCTTCAGAATTAAAGCTATTAAAGGCCTGGAGCATGAAAGTGACTCAAACACACCTGTGTTTGCAGTTGAGCCCACAAGGTAGGTAAGAAAGGGAAGTAGAAGGGCAGAGCGTGTGGTAAAGTGGCACCACTTCATCAGAGAGTGAAGGGATGTTGTCCCCTCGCCTTCCTTCTGCTCTCCTCTCGCCTGAAGTGTTTTGGTCCTTACTTTTTTCAGAAAGAATAATCCTCTCTCCTCTCAGAGATTTGGGCTGCTTGAGGGTGGGATGCGAGGCCTTTGCCACGTGTTCTGGCAGTCTTCCCACATCTGTCCCTTTAACCCGCCCTGTGCATTGGAGGCCAGAACTCGGAGTCTCCTCTGATAGAAACTTGGCTCTTAAGGAATTGTTGCTTCCCCCACTCTATGTCCTGAATGCATGAAGTCTCTGCCTCCATTTTAAGCTCTTAATTCTAGGCTAACTCCACTGGAATTAGCATATGCAGCGACCCACTTAATCCTCACAGACAACCCTGTGAAGTGGGGATTAGGCTGGGAAGCTTGAAGAGTCCAGGCGAGGATGACCAAAGGGCCCAAGAGCTGGAGTTTAGACCCCTGTCTGCTCTCTCTCAACTGCCTCCTGGTCTCTTCTCTGTACCTACAGTGGCCACCAGAAGATCTGTTTACACTGAAAGTAGCTCCCAGCTTTGGTGTACAGGATGGATACCCCGTGCCGTGTTTCCCGATTCCTGAAATTAAAAGGATTGGATCTTTCCAAGCCGTCCCTTTCTCTCTCCAGAACCTTCACGTACCTCTTGCTCTCTGGATTAATAGTCGTTGCATGTTTAAAGCTAGCAAGCATCTGATGAATATTTAATAGTCTGAGCAGACAGGCTGGATACAGCTGTCTGAGACAGCAGCTGTTGGGGAGAAGGGGAGGAAGTGCACTGCCCTGCCAGCTACTCGCTCTTTTGTTCGCTGGGCTGGCCCTTCTAGGCCCCTTAGGAACAAAGGCCTATCTGTGGTGGGCCCTGCACCCTATAGTCCTGTTGTGACCCGATCATTCAGGCAGCAGACCAAACCTTGTGGGGAGTAGGGGCACGGGGGAGGGCAGGTAAGGAGCAGATAAGTTCACTGACCCCTAAAATCAATTTTCGGACCCCTGGGCTGAAAGTCTTCTCCCCTGTAAACTGTGCTAGCACGAGGGCTGAGGCCACGTTCTCCAGTGTTGTGCCAGCGCAGCTCTCTGTCCTAAGAGGAGGGGGACTATCGCTGGACGGGACTTGGATTTCAGACCCGTGCTGCTGAGGTTTAGCCCCTTGACATTCCGTGACTGCACACAGCAGCTTCTCAGCAGTCGGTGTGCTGCTGTGCTGAGAGTCTTCGGCTGCTGTCTCAGGCAGGAGATGGGCAGCAAGGAACTTCCCAGACAGGGACATGAGCTACCCCCGCTTCTCTCCACCTGCACCCAGCGAGCTTGTTGCCACAAGGAGGCCTAGGCATTTCCAGGCCAGCCTTGGGGAGGGTATGGAGACTCGGAAAAAGCCAGCTCATCTGAGAGATTTCCAGGCAGAGTCTGAGCGAAGCACAGCCAGGCTATCAGCCCAGATCAATCACCTACGTAGTACACGTTGCCAGGAAATTGGGACATATTCCTGTTCTTAATGCTGCATCAAGGGGCCTGAATGAGCAGTTCCCTTGTTAACCTCTGGAGCCCGCCCAGTCCACCTCAGTCTCATCTCTCCAGACACTACGGTGTGAGAACTTGAGATAGAAGGGTTTGGGTTCAGAGGGAGCTAATTCCTCTCAGGGGCTTTTGGCTCCTGCAGCTCCCGTTCGTGGCCAAGCTTTAGGTGTAGAATGGATGCTCTCCTTTTCTTAGGCTCTCTGGGGTTGGAGTTCATAAAAAAAAAAAGCCCTGCATCTGCCTTTGAGAAAGAGAAATACCTTGTGCTCTAATAGGATTCTTCATAAGCTTCTTTCCAGAGGTCAGTATAAATGGCCGCCCCTTTAATTCATTTTATTAAATGCATTGGGGGTGCCTGGGTGGCTCAGTTGGTTAAGCGTCTGTCCAACTCTTGATATCAGCGTACGTCATGATGCGGGGTCCTGGGATTGAGCCCTGTATCGGGATCCTCTCTCTCTCTCTCTCTGCCCCTCTCCTGCCTTGTGTGTGCTCGCTCTTGCTCTCTCAGATAAAAATAAAATAAATGCATTGGCTGATATATATTATTAGAACATCTCCTGTGTGCTAGACCCTGGAGATTCAGTGGCACATAAATAGGATAAAATTGGTCCCTGCCTTCATGGAGCGTATATTTGATGAGACAGACACTAAACAAATGTTAACCCCCTAAATAACACATCATTTCAGGTTTAATAAGGGCTATGAAGGAAGAGGGTGCTGTAAGAACACACAATGGGCGCACTAGCCAAGTTTAGGGGTTCTCTTTGAGGAAGTGATGCTTAAGCTGACATCTAAAGGAAGAGTTAGCTAGGCAGAGGGTTTGCGAGATGGTTTGGGGAAAAGTTACAAAGTGCACTCTATGCAGAGGGCAGGACTGAGGCAGATTTGAGGTGAGGTAGGAACTTGGACCTTATTCTGAGGTCATCACTGAAGACCACTGACTGAATCCAGGAGTGAGGTGTGGGGAGCAACATGAATAAATTTAAACTTTACTTGCTGGGGTGCCTGGGTGGCTCAGTCAGTTAAGTGTCCGACTTTGGCTCAGATCATGATCTGACGGTTCATGGGTTCGAGCCCGTGTTGGGCTCTGCGCTGACAGCTCAGAGCCTGGAACCTGTTTTGGATTCTGTATCTCCTCTCTCTTTGCCCCTGCTCTGCTCGCACTCTCTCTCTCAAAAATAATAAACATTAAAAAAAAAAAAAAAAAACTTCACTCCTGAGTGGAGAATGGATTATGGATTTTGAGGGCCTGTTAGGAAACCATATTATTTTAGTCCAGACAAGAAATGAGGAGACCTATAATAGGGTGATAACAGTGAAAACGTAGAGAAGTGGATGGATCCAAGGAGTTTTCAGAGCTACAATGAACATAGTTTGGTGCCTGATTAGATGTGGGGGGACAGGGTGTGATTAAGGAGGGTTCCCACTTTCCTGGCTGGAACAACCAGCAGAATGGGGGTGCCATTTTTTGAAAGAAAAGGAGTGCTACTAGCAGGCTTTGGCATGAGAGCAGGGCCCCGTCCCGCGCCCAGGTTTAGGATGTGTCTCCTGCAGGTAACCCTGGGTATTTGGGGGCTGTCAGGCCAGAAGAGATGGAGCCCCCCAGCTTAGGACCAAGGTGCTAATAATATGTTTCCTCATTCTCTTTCCATAAAAGTCTTTAAAGAAGGCTCTTTATCTTTTTCACATCTCTGGGAAAGCAGAAATCATTCTCCACTTTGTATAGCTGGAGGCCGCAAAGCTTGTATAGCTAAAGGCCCCAGGGGTTTAGTTGATTCTGCCCGAATCACTCAGCTCAGACATGGCCAAGGATGGGAGGTGTATGAAGTGAGGCTCCATTTTCATTGCCTAACACCAAAAAGACAATTCTCCTAGGCTGTGGACTCCTACTGCCTACCCCTCTGGGCACCTAGAAGCCTGTACTGAGTGAAATAACTAGAGTTGCACAGTGGGATAGGGAGATTGTAAGGGAGGCAGCCTGGCCAAACAGGGGGGCTAAGATGCCCCCTGATAGGGTAGCTTCATGGCTCTTAATTTTCTACTTGTGTCTTTGCAGCGATCAAAGGACTCCGGAAACCAAGAGAGCTGCCTGCTGTGTCAAGGCTGGCCTGCGGGCACTTGCTGAGCACAGAGAAACCCAGGAGAGATCAACAGTGTTTTCCCACTCCACCTCTGGATCTGTCTGATTTGCCCACAGAAAGCCAGCCAGGATCCCCTAAGAGAGTCTCTAGGCCCAGAGTGGAGCCCTCGGGGCTGCAGGGGACTCTGATGCTAACAAACCTGCTTAAGACTTGACAGAGCTGAAGGGGACTAACAGCATCCCAAGCACAGCTTCCTAGATCTGAATAAACTGGCACTCCCACTGTCAATTCCCAGATTGCCCGCTTCCCCTTAGCCTCTAGCAGAAGTAGCTGGAACATGCCACCGCCCCCTCTTTCCCACCACACCACGCCTGTGCCATGGGTGGCAGCCTGGGAGCCCTCTGGAGGTGCCCAAGGCTGGGTGTCACCAATGTGACAGGCTGAGGAAAGCCAGATGACAAGGTTCATGTACTTTGAGCAAGTTATTTAACTTCTGAGCCTGGTTTTCTCTCCATTGTTGATTACTAACCTTGTCCAAACAGCCCTTAAAAGGTAGGGCTTTTCCCACTTCACTTCTGTACTATATATCCCTTCCCCGACAAATCTCTGGCACCGAGGAGCTCAATAAAATTTGGTCAAGTGAAGAATGGTCCCACTCTGGTAGCTTCTGTCAGCTTTGGGAGAGAGCCAAAGGCCCCTTGCCTAGCTCGTGCTCTTCTTCCAGCTATACTGAGCTGGCTCTTTGGCCTGCCACTTGCTCTGGAAGGATTGGAAAGTCAGCCTTTGATAGCCTTCTAGTTTCCAATGGCCTGTGTCTAGGCTGGTTTTATCCTGAGCTACCTCAGAGGTTAGGGGCCTCTAATACTACATTCTTCCTTTAATCAAATAACTCGAATGGTCATTTATCCTAACAAAGGAACTAGGAAAAGGGCTGGGTTTGGGAAGAGAGGCCGACAGCATTTTTTAACTGCCTGGGGCTGTCTAATGAGCTTGGATTTGGTCTTAGCAGGAAAGGGACACTGAAATCACTTGATTTACTTTGGGCAAGTTATTAAGCCTCTGAGCCCATTTTTATCTTCCATTATTGATGACTATAAATAAGAGCTAATAATTTATTAAATGCTTAGAGTGTACCAGGCACCATGTCAAGTATTTATATGCACAATTTCACTTAATCCTCCAATCCATTATACTCATTTTACAGATGAGGAAACAGAAGCTCAAGAAGGATAAATAACTTGTGTAAGGCTAAGAAGAAGGAGCTGTCAGACTTCATAGTCCCTGCTTTTCACCTGTCCGTGCCTCTTAACCACCACAAGTACCTTGAAACAGTAAAGCATTGTGTTTGAGGGAGCATTGTGTTTGTTTAGGGCGACCAACCTTATCCCTGTTTACCTAAGACTGAGAAGGTTCCTGGGATATTAGACTTTTAGTCCGTAAACCAGGAAAGTCCCAGGCACACCGAGATGACTTTGTCGACTTACATTTGCACTGAGGCTCTTGGTCCAGAGCCGGCCACTGAGGTTGCATTTTCCTTGGCTTATTGGTCTCTTAGGCTTCGCCTTGTGGCTGGAGTTCCTTTATCTAGCATTTGAGGACTTGCTTCATTTCAGGCCGGGGAGGAACTGAGAGATTCAGGGGCAGGGAGTGAGAGATTCACATGGCAGCCTGGGTCACTATCTGAAAAGCCAGCACTAGGTTCCTAAGAAGCCACGCCCTCAACCCCCCAGAAGCAGGACACCTACTTGAGAGCCATGGAATTACAGTAAAGCTCACAGAGAACTAAAGCGAAATCCTCCATTCAGATCCTAGCTCATCACTTGCAGTGTGTTTTTCTGGGCCTGTTTACTCCTAAAAGGATGATCATCCCTGTCCACTGAGTGGGCTCTGAGAAGCTAACGGAATGCGTGTGAAATCCCCAACACGGGGTCTATACGTAATACTGCCTGACACTTCAGTTTCCTTCCTCCTTTTTCCCTGGCTTGCGTTTCTTACCCAAGTCCTGTCACCTGTCACGTCTGTCACATACAGCCTCCTCTCTCCTCCCATTACCGCTTGCAGTCCTGGGGAGCCTCCTTTGAGAGCCATGACCTAGTGGCCTTGGCCCACCCACCCAGCTGCCCTGCATGTCAGTCACCTCCCCTGCAAGCAGAGAAGGGATGACATCAGCCTTCCTCCCTCCCTCCCCACTCCCCCCTCGTGTCTGAAGCCTCTGAACTGTTTTGAGCCATAAATATTTTAGCTGGGCCTTTCTCTGGCTGTTGCCAGGGTGATGGACTCTCGGGGGACCTGGGTGGGAGTGCGGAGGCCGGGCTGGCAGCCTGGGGCCTAGCAGGAGAGCTGGCTCTGGAGGGGCTGGTATGAAGTCTGGCCGAAAGCCAGTGCTTGCTGCAGCCGTTCTGAAGGCTGGGCCACCGTCTGCCTGCCTTCCCTTTCCTGGGCCCCTCCGAGCTGTCCCCACTGCTTCCAGGCCCAGCTCTGCCCTTGAGAGCTGCACGATCTTGAGTAAATGGCTAAGTGTCTCTAGGCCTTCGTTTGAACATCCATAACAGAAAAGTCCGTGCTTAACTCTGCAGGTTAAGTGGAGAGGACAAAGAAAAAAGGTTTTACCTTTGAAATACGGGCCTAGTTGTGATTGGAGGAGCAAGGCCCTATAGCCCTTTCTGATCTACCAGCTGGAGTCCCAGGGCAGTGTGGATGCCACTCTGAAGACTCCAGGCATTGCCTCTCTTCGCCGCCTCACACTGCAGCTCCAGCTCCTTTTCGAAGGTTCCCAGGTCTAGCTGGACTACCTGGCCTGCACGAAGCCTTCTAAGAAGCAGTGGGCCCAGTGACTTATGAGCAGAGTTGATGAAAGCCTTTTTTGCTTGAGATACAGGCACTCAGACTCACACCCATCCCCTCCCCACCCACCCCCTGACCCCCGATGAGATCAGGCCTCATCCTCTACCCCCTGTCCTAGAGATCTTCCATCTGGCCAGCTGCTAAACTCTTAGGTTATGGATTGATCTTGGGATTGGTCTAAAGAAGAAAAAAGAGCCAGCGAGGGCGCTCCTGGATCCGTGGCCCACTCATACCACCGACAAGCTCTGGATTGTGTGCAGGATTCCACATTCCCTGCCTAGCCCCGCCCACCACAATTTTCCTGTGGAGTCCGGAGCTCTGATTCCTTTGTGCTAAGCTCCCCCTGATGGTGAAGATGTCCATTGCAGGAAAATAAGCTCTCAAAAGTGAGACTAAATTGCAGGCCACCTGAGAGGTGGAATCATTTGCTTTATACCAAGGAGAGAAGAATCCTTGTCCCCTCCTAATGACAGTCATTCCATTTCCTATATAGGATATCTCTCCCACATGTTTGCTTATGTCATTAATCATCACAATTCAATGACAGGAATCATTCTAATTTTACAGAAGAAACAGGCTTATAAATATATGATCAAGTCCAAACTCTTCACCGTACGTAGTAGTCAAGAGCCTAACCTGTTTTTCCGAATTCATCTTCAGTTACTCCCAAGCCGAAATGGGCTTGCTCTTGAACATAGCTTACCTCTGGGCCTTTGTTCATGCTGTTCTCTGTATCTCCTACCTACCAAAATCCTATTCATTTTTGAAAACCTAAGCAAGCAATACAGTACTGTCAGGCGTCTGGGTGGCTCAGTCTACTGAGCATCTGACTCTTAATTTCAGCTTAGGTTATGATCTCAGGGTCATGGGATCAAGCCCTGCATCTGTGCTGAGCATGGAGCTTGCTTGAGATTCTCTCTCCCTCTGCCCTTCTCCCCTGCTCATTCTCTCTCTCTCTCAAATAAATTTTAAGAGAAATACAGTATTTTCTAAAACTCGCATTTATTATCTTTATAATAAATACCACAAGACATGGAAAGGCAAATGTCTGGAAGACTACGGGTGCGTGAGTAGCCCTAAGATGCGGAATGTTAGATGGAGAGGCTAACATATACATGGAAGTAAGAACGGCTCAGGGAATTAGAAGGACATGAAGACACATGGATTCTCTTTCAGCGCTTGTAATAAAAATCAGATGTAAGTATTCTTGCTGGCAGAAGAGTGAGCAAGTCCCTGGGAAGCTGGGAGAGCTACCAGTGACATTTCTTGAAAGACTTCAATCAAATTCACATTAGTTTTCTTTGTACTTCATAATAGATCCGTGTTATAATAATAGTAACTAATACTTAAATAGCACTTACTGTGCACCACGCACTGTTCTAAGTACTTTACACAGACTAATCTTTGTTAGAATGTCATAAGATAGCTACTAAGACTACCCTCATTTGACACTGAAAACAACTGAGGCACAGAGAGGTTAAGTAACTTCCTTAAGGTCATGCAGCTACTAAGTGGCAGAGCCAGGATATGATTCTAAGACCGCGGCAGAGAAGGTCCTCTGAAAAACTACACTTTAAAAATACTGCCTCACACTTCTGTAAATACAACTGAACGCTCCAGAAAGCAGTATTGTGTTTTATCCTGTGTTTGCACACCCCCACTGGGTACCACTAGAGGTCTGCATAATTCAGGTAGAAAACTACTGAACCAGAGGACAGAATTGCCAGCCATGGCCCCAAAATAGCACGACCAAGGAAGAGATCCCAACTCTTGACACAGTGACACAGGACTGGCCTAGAGCCAGTGACATTTCCTCAAGAACCCAGACTCCTGGAAGAGCCAATAGAGAACAAGTTAATTAGGAAGTGGAGCCGCAAAGAAGGGAAACAAGGGCTTCAAGGTCACAAAACAGCTGAGACACGTGGCCATGGATCTGGAAAACAAGAATCTAACCAACATCCTGCCATCTTATGATTCTTTCCCCCCAGGGATCCTGTGGGAGGCAGATGTGAAAAGACTAGGACCCTGGATCTTTCTGCTAGATGCTGGGATCGAAGTGCACATTGTTCTGGATTGTGTCAGTTACAGTTGCCAGGCACCAAACACAAACTAGCTTTTTATAATGGAAAAGTTCATAAAGGATTCAGGTATGGCTGGACCCAGGGGTTCAAATGATGCTATCAAGACAGTGTAAACTGACTTTTAAAAAAATTTTTTAATGTTTATTTATTTTTGAGAGGAAGAGAGACAGCGTGCAAGCGGGAAGGGGCAGAGAGAGGCAGACACGGAATCTAAAGCAGGCTCCAGGCTCTCAGCTGCCAACCCAGCCCAATGCGGGACTCGAAGCCACGAACTGTGAGATCATGACCTTAGCAGAAGTTGGATGCTTAACCAACTGAGCCAACCAGGTGCCCCTCAACTGATTTTTTTTTTACTTGCCTGTGTTTCCTTCATTGCCTAAGTTCTCCCTCCCTAAAAGGAGGCAACGTAGCCACCACAAACACCAAGTTCATATCCTATTTACCATCCCAATGTGGGGGGCGGGGCGGGGAGGTGGAATTATTTCCCAGTTGTTCTAAAATTTTTCTATATGTTTTATTTATTTCCGAAGGAGAGAGAGACAGCATGAACAGGGGAGGGTCAGAGAGAGAGAGGGAGATACAGAATCTGAAACAGGCTCCAGGCTCTGAGCTAGCTGTCAGCACAGAGCCTGATATGGGGCTCGAACCCACGAACTGTGAGATCATGACCTGAGCCAAAGTCAGACACTTAACTGGCTGAGCCACCCAGGCGCCCCTTCCCAGTTGTTCTAAAAAAAGGCCCTAGGATTGCATCTCATTTGGCCTGAGTAGGGTCACTAATCACCCCTGCTCCAAAACCAGCCACTGTAGCCTGGAGCGGCAGGATGGAATGCTTCGATTCCCCAGGACTGGGCCATCATCTGGCCACACTGGACCTGCAGAGTAAGGCAGCCCCACCAGACCACATGGACTGAGTGTGAGGAAGGGTAGTTCCGCAAGGGAAAATCGAAGTGTTCTAAACAGAAGGAGGAATGGGTGTGGGGCAGGAAAAATCAACAGACAACTGGTACGAGATGGGCAGGAGACCCAGATAAGGGGTTGCATGCATAGCAGCCCATTTGAGTGATCTTCCCCTCTTACACTGGGTTACTGGGTTGTATGAATGCCCTCAAATCAATAAAGCAAACATTTACTGAATATTTGCCACGTACAAGGTCCAGCGCCCTTCCACGTAACAGATGGACAGCAAGACTTGCTCCTGCCACCAGCCCTGGTAAGGCAATTACTGTTATGTTTCCTCCCATAGGAGCATAACAAACTCTTACTCCTGTCTCAGGAACCAGCTCTGATGTCATCTTCCATGAAGTCTTCTCTTGATCGCCTCCCCTGTCAGACTTAATCACCTTCCATCCACCTCTGAACTTGGTACATACTGCTATTGTTATCACACCGTGCCGTAATTTATTGATTCTTCTCTCTGTCTTTCTGAAGGATGAGAGCCACTTCTGTATCCCTAGCACCCACCATATAATAGATGTTTAAAACGTTTGTTGACCTGAGTTGAAATGAGTTCCCAGGAATGGCTCAGCTTCCATCTTTTATGGACCATTCCTGAAACCATTTAGCTTCCCTTCCCAACTGGCATTCCTTTTTTTTTTTTTTTTTAACATTTCTTTATTTTTTGAGAGAGAGAGAGAGCAAGAGCGGGGAAGAGGCAGAGAGAGGGAGACGTAGAATCAGAAGCAGGCTCCAGGCTCTGAGCTGTCAGCACAGAGCCCGACACGGGGCTCGAACCCACAACCCTGAGATCATGACCTGAACTGAAGTTGGCCGTTCAACCGACTGAGCCACCCAGGCGCCCCTGGCATTCCTTTTAAGAGCCAGTTGGCCCCTACCTGAATTCAACTGAACTGATACATATTTGAATGCCTGTGGCGTGGGAGGTAGCTTACTTAGACTTTGGTAATTCAGAAATTAACAAGTGCATTCCAAATCCAGCACTCTAAAGAGATCAGAACCAGTTCTACGACCAGAATTTCTTTGGCTGAAAAAAAGAAATCTCACCGTTTCCTACTCTACTTTGTGAGCTTGTCGTTCTCCCTCTCTCGGTCTCTTTTCTCCCAGATGGGAAGGCCTGATGTGGTGTAAAACTTGTAACTTAATAGATATCTATGTGTTGAATTAAACCACGTTTCCGTTTGCCTAGCCTAAAAACCTCGGAGGAATAGGGGGTGGCTGAGTGTCTCAAGTCACCAACTTCTGCTCAGGTCATGATCTCCTGGTTCGTGAGGTCGGGCTCTGTGCTGACAGCTCAGAGCCTGGAACCTGCTTCGAATTCTCTGCCTCTTTCTCTCTTTCTGCCCCTCCCCCCCAAAAAATAAACATTAAAATAAATCAGTAGTAATACTTGATCTTCTCTTTCTTCCAGACACCTATCCAAACCATCTACAAATCCTGCTCCTTTTACCTTCAAATCCAGAATCCAACATGTTTCACTCCCTCACTCAATCTGGTACAATCCATCAACATCACTTGCTAAAATCATTGCCATATCTTTATCTGTTCTCCCTGTTTCCACCCTTGTGACTCTACAGTCTATTCTCACATAGCAGCCAGAGTGATTCTTTAAATATATAAGTTCAGGGGCGCCTGGGTGGCTCCGTCAGTTAATGATCTCAGGTCATGATCTCATGGTTCTTGAGATCAAGCCCCATGTGGGTCTCTGTGGTGACAGCACAGAACCTGGTTGGGATTTTCTCTCTCCCTGTCTCTGCTTCTCCCCTACACACGCCCTCACGGGCCCTCATGCTCTCTCTCAAAATAAACTTTAAAAAAGAATGTGAGTTCAAACCCTCCATCTTCCCCATCCCGTTCAAAGTAAGTAGGAGCCCTATAGGGTCTAACCCGTTCCATGTCCCACTCTCATGTCTATTCCAACCAAGCCACACTGACCTTCTTGCTGTTTCTTAAACACACTAGCTGGGGTCATACCAGAGGGCCCATCCACTAACTTTTTCCCCCTCTGCCTGGAATACCCCTTTTCTCTGGGTATCTACATGACTAACTCACTCATTTCCTTCGACTGTTTGGTCACCTTCTCAGTGAAGCCTACTCTGACCATCCTGCTTAAAGTTGCAACCTCCCATCCCCCTTTCCTGCCTCCACAGCAATTATTCCCTCCTAATATACTACAGAAGTTACTAATTTTATGTCCATCTCTTCCCACTTAACTGTAAAGTCTGCAAATATCAAATATCTACTAATTAACTCAAGTAAGTCAATATCAATGTCTATTATGTGCCAAGCTCTGTGCTAAGTCATGGAGCTACCAGGTGATTAGGACAGTTTATAGGTCTTGGGAGGGAAGAAATCATAACAATTGGTAATAGTACCTCATTTATTGAGTGCTTCCTGTGTTAAGTACTTGTCATGCATCCTAATAATGATGGCTAACATTTTTAAAAATAGACTCTCTTCCTCACGCGTTATCTCATTCAATGTTCACCAAAACCTAAAAGGTGAATATTACGAGCCTCGTTGTAAAGAGCAAGAAAAAAGATTTCAAGGCTCAGAATTGGCAGAAGCAAGATTTGAACTAAGGTGGTGGCAGGAGAAATATTTAGGACTTAGGGTCTGCAAAACTAGGTGAAAGAGTGGTTGTGGGGGGTCGAGGGAAACAACTCCCAGATTTTGACTAGGGTGGACCAGAGACCAAGAAAGCCAAAGACAAAGATGAAAGCCCAATGCGGGACGCGTGGAGTTTGAGCTGCCTGGGGGGCCACCGATGGATACAGTCCATCTCGCGCAGGAGCCGAGAGGCGGTTCCGGGTCCCCTCCCTCCGGCCTGAAGAGACGGCGGGAGAAGGCACCCACAGGAAAAGCAGGAGGTGACTTCCCTCCCTCTGGGGTCTCCCGAGCAGCAGCTGCTGGAAGGGCGTAGGGGGCTGCGAGACAAAGAGAGCGCGCAGGCACCGCCTTTGTCCGCGTGGCCCCTTTAAGAAGCGCGTCCCCAGCTTCCAGCCCGCCTTGTATGCAAATTTGGCGGCCAGGCGGGAGCGCGCGACTGATACCCGGGGACTGGGCTGCGGCGGTTAGTCCTCTCCCGGCCGCCGTCGCCTCCGACATATTGCCCGCAGGAGCTGCGGCGGCGGAGCGGAGAGCGCCGGGGGGAGGAGATGGGTGAGTGGAGCAGGTCCGGCTCGGCCGGGGAACGGGCAAGCGTGGGGGTCGGGATGGCCAAGCTGCTGATTGCTCCCCCACGCGGACAAGATCCCGGCGAGGGAAGGGGGAGGGGATGCGGGGCACCGAGGGGCCCCGCCCCCTCCTGTCGTTTTGCGGGGTGGGGCCTCGGTTGTGGAGGCGGGGCATTGGCACGGTGGGCGGGGCTTCTAAAAAGGAGCGTGCCCGAGGGGGCTTGGGCTTTGGTGAGGACCGGCTCACCTGGGCCAGAAGTGGGTACGGGGCGTGGCGGTAGGCGGGGCCTTAGTGTTGGGGCGGAGCTCCTGGGCTGTGGGCGCTTGTGCGGGGGCGAACTTTCTGGGCTGTCAGGGCTTTGCACCGGGGGCGGTGGGGCAGGAAGACCTTCCAGACCTAGGGAGCCCATTCTGGAGCCGGGCTTCTGGGCAAAGAGAGCTTTTATTGGCTTGTGGGCGCGTTTTCTGGGCTGACAACTGTGTGTAGGCGGGGCTTCTGGGCCTAGGGGCTTTACGTGGGTGTAGAGCTTCTAAAAGAGAGGAGAGTGGGTGTGGGCAGAGCTTTTGGACTTGAGGGTGCATATGTGGGATGTTTTAAGCCAGGTATAATAGTGTGTGAACAGAGCTTCTGGGTTGGGGGCTGATTGCGGGCAGAGCTGGAAAAGTACTTTTTGGAGACACGTGTGGGAAAACCTTCCGGAAGCTAGTGTGTGTGTGTGTGTGTGCGTGTGTGTGTGTGTGTGTGTGTGTGTGTGTGTGTGTGTGTGTGGTCTGTTGCGTGAGGTAGTTTGAACGGGGCTGTAATTTTGATTAGGACTGGGGTGGTGCTTAGGACCTTTGTGCAGGACTTTTGTGCAGGTTGGTGCTTGGGAGTTTGGGCTGCACTGCCAAGCGTAGAGAAATAGGGTTTGGGTCCACAGTCACAGCATTCTCCCAGAGCCCACATCCTTGACCCCGTGCTCAGGCCCTGGGTCCTGACCGTGAGACACCAGGATGCCTACTGAGTTGGATCTTGGCCTCTAGAGAAAAAAGCTTCAAGGGTGCCCAGAATCATAAACCTAGAGAGACTTGGAGTATCTGAACAGGACAGTGTACCCCAGAGCTAAGGGCTCAAGCCTCAGACCCCTAAACTACCTGTGACACAGCGTAAACTCAGTTTCCTAATCTGTGGAAAACCTACTTTGCTGGGTTCATCCACTCTTGAAGGTAGACTTCTAGACCACTTACTTTATTCTGGGCTCTGTGGTAGGGGGAGGGGAGAAAACACTGAAAAAGACGGCTAAAGGTAAAGACCTCATTGATGTTCCGTTCTAGGAAGAATGACAGACAATAAATATGTTAACAAATGACTAAGATAAATTTGAAGACTGTATTGTGAAAAAAGTAGAAATAAGAGGGTTATGGGGGCAGATGATTAAAAAATGGCAGTCAGGGGAAGGCTCTCCAGACGGGATACAGCAAGTATCAGAGGTGGCGACAAGTTTGGTTTGCTTAAGGAGTGAAAGGACAGGATGGCCGAAGCATGGAGGCCAGGCAGAGAATGGTAGGAGCTGAGGTAGGCAGGGGCCAGATCAGAGGGCTCTGTGATTAAATGATAAAATGAGACACCGGGTAACTGGTAGCCAGTATCATTGCTGTTATCCTTGATATATGCCCTTTGGCTTGAGGATCTACTTTATGTTGAGTCCCACAGGAGGACGAAGAGGGCCCAACAGGACATCATACTGTCGAAATCCACTGTGTGAGCCAGGATCCTCAGGGGGCTCTGGTGGGGGCCATACCTCCAGTGCGTCCGTCACCAGTGTCCGTTCCCGCACCAGGTAAACCACCTCTGTCTCTTACCCCTCACGGTGGGCTCACAGGGGCAGTATGAACAGAGCTCTCTCTCACTGGGCTCTAGGATGTGACCTCCCAGATGCCAGATGGGGGCTTAGAGTGCAGTGAGCAGCAAAAGACTCAGAGGCGGTCGTGACTTGGGGCAGATGCAATGGGACATAGTATAATAAGCTCAGTTACAGGATCCCAGCTAACAATTCTGCTCCTTGTTTTCTGGTGGCTTCAACAAGTAGTCTCCACTCTTTGGGGTTCCTTTTCCTCATCTGGAAAATGGACCTAATAATTCTTTCCTTCCTGCGGAATGCTGGAAAGCATGAATAAGATTAGGGGTAGGAAAAGCTCTGTTGGCTCCTTTGTCTGATGGGCAGGGTTAGGACTCCATCCTTGCCATGAGCTGCTTTTCTGACCCATTGCCACCTTCCTGTGCCCCAGAAGCCCTTCTTGGTGGGGTTCTCAGGTCAGCTCCTGATGGGTTTTTTTTTCCCCTCCTCGCCTCCCAGGAGCAGTTCTGGGACGGGCCTCTCCAGCCCCCCTCTGGCCACCCAGTCGGTCGTGCCCCTACAGCACTGCAAGATCCCCGAGCTGCCAGTCCAGGCCAGCGTTCTCTTCGAGCTACAGCTCTTCTTCTGTCAGCTCATAGCCCTCTTCGTCCACTACATCAACATCTACAAGACAGTGTGGTGGTACCCGCCTTCCCACCCGCCCTCCCACACCTCCCTGGTAGGTGCCCAGCTAGGGCCAGCTGTGTGTGTGTGTGTGTGTGTGTGAGAGAGAGAGAGAGAGACAGAGAGACAGACAGAGAGAGAGAGAGAGAGAGACACGCAAGCGCCCTGTACTTTTGGCCTCATGCTGGGCATGGACCATGTAGAAGGAACAGGAAATGACTGATTCCCGAACACTCGTCCTAAATTGCTCAGTACCGCTTTAGGCGTTTCAAAGATAGCGGAAATAAATCGGACAGATTTTGCCTAAAGGAGTGCAGGATCTTAAGTCCCGTGGGGGCGAAGAGCCACAGGCATACATGAGTATTCCAAGGAGCGGAAAGATCTCCGTGCGGAGAGAGAGGTTCAGGGACCGGAGCACGGGTGACCAGAGCAACAGGACTCCCGCACCACTGTCTTACCTCCAGGGACTGTCCCAGTTCCCTCCTCTGGGTCCTGTTCTACTCCTCTAGGTAGTTTCCCGGCCTGACTCAGTTAGAGGCCTGTGAAGGTCAGAGAGTGGGGATAGTCCCTGCAGAAAGGACTGGGCAGGGGGAGGTGGGTTTGGAAAAAGCCCGCATGTGGGCGGGGGCCCACGTGACCCCCAGCCTCTGCCCCCTGACAGAATTTCCACCTGATCGACTTCAACTTGCTGATGGTGACCACCATCGTTCTGGGCCGCCGCTTCATTGGGTCCATCGTGAAGGAGGTGATTGGGTCCCTAGAGAATGACCAGGGACTTTGGGACTCCCCTCCCCCCTGGGGGGTGCCAAGGAAACACGCCTAGCCCTTCAAGCCCAAGGCATTTCCTTGGGGCTCCCTTTGAACTTGGGTGAAGAACATTATTCACATCCCATTACTCTTAGAGTTTCCTGGGCGTCGAGGAAAAGCATTCGCCTTGCCGGGTTCTGCCCAGCCTGCTGCCCCATGGTTCCCGGGGGAGGGGTGGGGATCACAGGCCACACTGGGTGGGATTTGGGCACAGCCCCCCCGTGGCCTCCATCCAAGGCCCCATCCTGTCCTATCTCGCCCTGACCCAGGCTTCTCAGCGGGGGAAGGTCTCCCTCTTTCGCTCCATCCTGCTGTTCCTCACCCGCTTCACCGTTCTCACGGCAACAGGCTGGAGTCTGTGCCGCTCCCTCATCCACCTCTTCAGGACCTACTCCTTCCTGAACCTCCTGTTCCTCTGCTATCCGTGAGTACCCCTCACTGCACCCCTCGCTGCCCAGCACCTGGCTCCTCACCTCTGCCCTGAGTGGGGCTGGGGCAGCAGACCCCCGTACCTGGAAGGCGGGGGGCAGGGCAGCAGCAGCATCCTCTCCCGTTGTCTGAGAACGTCCCCCTGAGAGCAGGACAATTAGTTTTTTGCAGGAGCAGAAACTGAGGCGGCAGGCACAGTTTACCCAAAGGACCACCAAGGGGGGGGTCAGAATGGGACTCCGATCTGAGCACATCTGCCAAAGGAACAGTTCCCGATGGGGATGCCTGGGCTTTGTCTCCCCCTCTCTTCCCTTTCTCTCGGATTCTTTCTCTTTCTCGGTCTTTTTTTTTTTTTTGTATCTTAACGTTTATTTAGTCTTTTAGTGCCTCCCCCAGGTCCGTGTGCATGCGAGCACCTGCGTGCGTGCATGTCTCCGTGTGAGTGCCTGTGCGTGAAGTATGTGCGCGCGCATATCTACATGTGCATGTGTGTGTCAGCTGTGGCACCCGTTTTGCTCACTCACTCCATGTCACCAGGGCCCAGGTTATTGAGGAGGGGAAGATAATGTCTGGGAAGAGCCTGGGACTTCCCCCTTCTGACCTAGCACCGGGGAGACCTTTGGCGGGACTTCCACACTGGCTGTTCCCAGGGGCAGGCTCCTGGCTGCCTGGGCATTTACAATTGTTTCCCTACCCCTGGGCTTTCTGGTTCATGAACTTCCTCAGGCTGGGCCAGTTCTGTGCCCTGGGAAGCTTCAGAGCTGGATACTCGTCCCTCAATACCCTGCGTGACCAAAAGGGCACGGTCACGGGAAGAGCCTCATCACACTTGTTTCAGCTGTAACTAGTTTTTAATGATAAGAGTGATGCGTGTGTCATATAAAAACGTTAAACTTTACAGAAGCTTTTAATGTAGAAAATGAAAGTCCCATGTAACATCAGTCCTCCAGAAAACCATTATTCACAGCACATCCTGCCAGATTTTTCTGCCCAACCATACACACATATACTTTTTTGGTTAACAAAAAAGGAATTCATCTCTGCACGATGTTGTACAATTTATTGCATTTTTTTGGGTCATCACAGGACTTGGGTATTTTTCCATGGTGATACATACAGGTCTGCCTCATTTTTTTTTTTTAATGGCCTCATAGTATTCCATTGTATAGATTTTTCACAGTTGCTGTATGTGTCTTCTATTGGTGCCCTTTTGAGGTGTTCCTAGCTTTCCCTATTGGAGGCAGTGAGGTAGGGAACATTCTTTTGTGTACATCTTTGCCCACTTGTCCAATATTTCTGTCAACAGATTCCCAGAAGTAGAATTACTGTACTGAAAGGTGCAGTGCATTTTTGATAGATATTAACAAATGGTTAGAGGCATCAACAGTCACCTTAATTTTTTCACTTTCTGGTTATATCCAGTGAATCCACTTCTTTGGATACAGGTATCACTCAGTATTCACAGTTTGCCCTATTTTTTTATTATTTAATGTTTAACTTTTTACTATCATAAGACACACATAGCCTAGCAAATCAGTTCAGTAGTCCTAAAAAAACTCATGATGAAAAACAGCCTCCAACCCCCCTTTTTATCTTTTTATTTTATGTGTTTATTTTTTAAGTTTATTTATTTTGAGAGAATGAGCACAAGCAGAAGAGGGGCAGAGAGAGGGAGAGAGAGAATCCCAAGTAGGCGCTGCACTGTAAGCATGGGGCCCAATGTGGGGCTTGAACTCATGAACTGTGAGATCATGACCTGAGCTGAATTCAAGAGACACTTAACTGACTGAGCCCCCCAGGTGCCCTACTTTTTAGCTTTCTAGTCCCACTTCTCCAATGCGATCTCTTTCACCATTTCTGACTTTCAGTGTTACTGAGTTACCTCCATAATTCTAGTATCTTTGTATCTTTATTCCTTTCAAAAATTTACAATTATTTTTATAGCTGGATAATAGGTTTTCAGAGTTAAAATTCAAAATGTATGAATGTGTGTAAAAATGTATAAAGAATATAGAATGAAAGTCTCTCTTTGGCTTCTCTGTCTCTTAGCTACCCAGTTTCTCTTCCAAGGGGTAACCACCACCATTTCTGGTTTCTTGTATGTCCTGGAAATAATGTTTTATGCACATACAAGTATACTGTACACACAAATATATACATTGATTCCCTTCAATGATAGGTGAAGACTTACTTAGTTCACCCTTCTATCCATACTATTCCCAGTATTTGATAACTTATTTTAATTTTTCTATTGATTGTCTTTTTCAATAATATCACTATGCCTGTATTTTTCATTTCATCAACAATAGTATCTTAATCCCTTTAACGTAGACAATAATATTAGGAACTCTACCCTTCCACTTCTCCTCCCCTCTTCCTCCTCTCACTTCCTAGCAGCTGTACACTTACATTGTTAAGCTTGACATTCACATTCTCCTGTAGAACCACATTTAAGTCTTCCGTTCTTTGTCTAAGGTTAATTCTAAAAACTAAAAAGCAAAAAGCAGCCTTGATGTTGTTATGAATATGAAAGTACCATTCACTTTAAGGCCAAGTAGTATGCACACATGACATTCCTTCTCTATAGTTACTGAGTTATAATCTTGGGCCTTTTAAAAAAAGAAAGTTCCTCATGTCAAAGTCAAATGGTTTCTCTTTTCTTAACGTTCCATCAATTGCTTAAAATCATGCCACATTTTAGTTTGCTTCGTATTTAGATTGTAACTTTCTTATACAGCCTTTTTTTTCCCTTGGAGTTCTAATTGCCTTTCTTTTTTCTTGTTGACAAAAGAATGATGGGCCTTCAACATATCCTCAAGTTTATCCAGCCTCTCAATCATGCTACCTGTTGCCTGGAGTCCATTTTTCCCCCTAAAGACATCCCTCCTGGAGTCCTCCATCTTCCTGCTCCAGTCTGGAGTGGTTGCTCTTTAGGCCTGCTGTACAGCTCTCAGCCTGGGACTTCCCTTCGCTGCCCTCCTGGGTTGGATCCACTGTTTCCTGGATCCCATGTCTTCCTCTTTCTTGGTTTTCTCCCTTATTATGCTGGAGTGCATTATCAGGTAATTCCTTAATAATGGGTGTGTGGGAGGTATATACATTCGGAGGCCTTGCATGTCTAAAAATGTCTTTATTCTGCCCTCATACTTGATTGATGGTTCAGCTAAATGTAGATTTCTAAGTTCAAATTCATATTCTCCCAGAAGTTTGAAGATATTATTCCATTGTCTCCAGCATCCAGTGTTTCTTAAGAGAAGTCTGATGCCGGTTTGATTCCAGTTACTTTGTATATGACTTGTTTTTTCCTTTCTAAAAGCTTTTAGAGCCTGTTTGTCTTTTGATTAATCGAAATTTTATAAGGAGGTGGCTGGTGTCTGGTGTGAGACTTTTGTCAGTCATCGTATCCACACTCTAGGACTTTTTTAACCTGGAGATTTGGCTATTTCTTCAGATCAGGGAAATTTTCTCCTATTATTTCCTTGATAATATCTTCCCTTCCATTTTTTCTCTTCTCCCTGGGACTTCTGTTCTTAAGGTGGTAAACCTCATAGATTGATCATCTATTTCTCTAATATTTCCCCTCATATTTTTCATTGCTCTCCCTTTCTCCCCCCCCCCCTCCCCCGCACCGTCTTTCTTTCTCTCTGTCTCTCTCTCTGTCTCTCTCCCTCCCTCTCCCCCCACTCGGTCTTTCTCCTTTATCTCTCTTTTTTTTTACTTTGCCTTTAGGGAGATTTTCTCAACTTTATCTCCCAGCTTTTCTATTGAGTTTTTCAACAATCATGTATTTTTTTTTTTTTTTAATATCTCAGGCCTCTTTCTTGTTTTCTGATTGTTCTTTTCTCATAGCATTCTGTTCTTATTTTAAAAATCTCTCACGTTCCCTCAATTTTGTCTTTCCACTGGGGTCAATCTTTTGTTTCCTGCTGCTAGTTTTCTAAGCATAGTTAGTTTCTTTGGTTGTCTCTTTACACTTAGAAATGAAGGAGTAGTTTGGAGCACACTCCCTCTCCCTCTGCCATTGTATATGTGAGTGGGAGGTTTGACCAGGGATTCTAACTATAAGAGCAGGACACACAGACTGGCAGGCTTTGCTTTAGGATGAGTGAGTACGGTGCTATTTGTGCACCCCCATAGACCAGAAACCAGGATGAGGGGGTTACCCTAGGATATCCCCATTAGAGACGTCGGCTCTCCCCAGGGTAGTTTAGTCAGATTCTTTACAGAAGAATTCCTCAGGGTAGACTGTGTGAGGTGAATAAGAATAAAGGGGCTGACTCTTATAAATAAATACAGATCTTTGTTTAATCCCCTCTGTTCAGTCCTGCTACGCCTTTCTGCCCTTTATCAGATGTGTCTGCTTCAAGCCAGAGTCTCTCTTGGGTCACTGGGCAGATAAGCTCCTACCCCCAGTACAGCCCTCGCAGCATATTCTAGACCTACGCCATCCAGTTCAGTAGCTTCTAACCAAACGTTCTAATTATTGAATGTTTGCAAGAAGCTAGTTTGGATTGAAGTGTGTTGTAAGTGTGAAATTCACATCAGATTCTGAAGGCTTAGTACAAAAAAAGAAAGTAAGTCAAAATCTCATTTGTAAATAATGAGTACATGTTGAAACGATAATGGGTGGCATATATTGGGTTAAGTAGAATGTTAAAATCAATGTCTTTTTTTTTTTCAATGTGGCTACCCGAAAACTTCAAATTACATACGTGATTCTCATTATATCTCTGTTGGACAGCGTTGCTCTAGGTGATGGCTTCCTTCCTCCTCTGTCAACATGTTTCCATCTGCTTTCTAAATTTGTCCAAATTGCTTGTGAACCGATAACGTACTCCCATTCTTTTTGCTGATATGAATTTATTACCGACTTTTATACGGTCACATCTTGAGTAGAGAGGGTGAGTGGGAACCTGCCATCTTGCATGTGAAGCTGTTTCTAACGTGTGACCTCAGGAGCAGTCACTTGCTGTTGCCAAATAACATTGTTGTGTCTGCACTCCTTCTTAGAGGCAAAACCAAGGAGATTCTTGAGTACTTGCCCTGAAATTCGAGTCTGAATCCCTCATATGATCCTATAGGTGCCCTACCCCTTCACTCCCACAAGGTGTCCTGGGGAATGTTTTGGGAATCCCATTACAGTCTTCTTTTCTGTCCCAGATTCCCTGGTCCCTCTTTTCTAAACAAAATTTTATGGCTCTTCTACTTTGGATCAAACACCATGCTGGGTGTTGTTGCAAGGTTTGAAAGAGAGTATTTATGAAGGCACTAGGTGTAATGCCTGAGTGTAGAGAATCAATACAAGCCATGTAATTTAAAGCAAATTAAGGGAACTGAGGCTCATAGAGATGAAGTAATTTGCCCTCAATCACAGTGCTAGTAGGTAGCAGAGCTGGGATTTTAATCCTAGCCTGTTTGACCCCAAGGGTTATGCTCCTGACCACAGTTCTCTAAGTTCTCTTACTTAACCGTACACCAGGGAAAATGGTAGCACCCCCATTTTATAGGCCAGAAAGCAAAAACCCAGAAAGGCCAACTGCTTGCCCAAGGACACTCATGTACCCTTTCGTGGAACATCAGGAAACAGGCAGAAAAACACTACTATTGATAAGAAAATGTAGCATTCTTATTGGCCCTAACTCATGCGAACAGCCCAGGGACCTTTCTGGGGCTGTGTCTGAGGACCTGGGGAAATTGACAAGCCCCAAGCTGAAGAAAGGAATGCCTGGAAATAGCACCTACTATAGCATTCCATGGACCCATGCTAGGCTAACTTAGCTACTTTTTCCCCCCTCTATATATTTATTTATATTTAAAATAATCTCTATGGGGCTTGAACTCACAACCCCAAGATCAAGAGTTGCATGCTCTACCAATGGAGCCAGCCAGGCACCCTGGCACTTAGCTACTTTTTATAATTACCTACTCTCCTGGCCTTTAGGTCCATCTAACATATGCAGCCGTAATAACTTAGTCTTCTCTTGTGGTACCACGTCCTTTTTTTTTTTTTTTTTTTTGTTT